CTGACCGTCTGTCTGTCTCCCTCTGTCTACAAACACACACACACACACACACACACACACCCCTCCCTCCATCTCCACCAGCTCCCTAGCAGCCCAAGCCCAGACCTCTCTCAGTTAGTGCACAATCACCTCCTCGGAGGTCTCTCTGCCTCTGCTCTGGCTCTTGGGTGACCCGTTCTCCACACAGATCTTGCTCAGCACGCTTCAGATAACCCTCCAGACCCTACCATGACCCGCATGGCTCCACCTGCCTTTGCCCTCCGTCCCCCTGCACTCACACAACTCCCAGCCCTGGCCTCCTTTCAGCTGCTCAGACTCTCAGCCACCCCCTCCTCAGGGCCCCCTCCCTTACCAGCTCTACCTAGAACACACCGCTACCTCCTCGCCTCACCCGTGTCCCGTTTTCCCACAGCCGGCCCCTTCTTTTTGGTTCTCGGCTCCAGTGCCACCTTCTCTAAGTCCTTCCCTGACAGATTTACCTAGATTGCCTCTTCCGTCCCCGCCCCCCTCAATCTCCTTGACTGTACCATGCTCACTCCCTTCAAAGCACTGAGCGCACTTTATGATTATCTGCTGTTTGTTGATCGTCTGGCTCCCACACTAGACCATAAGTCATCCGGTGGGTTGTCATGGACTGGATGTTTGGGTCTCCCAACATTCAGATTTTGAGGTCCTAGCCCCGTGCCCCTCAGCATGGCTGTATTTGGAGATGGGGGTCTCCAAGCAGCAGTTAGGGTTAAACGCGGTCACCAGGGTAGGTCTCTGATCCAAAAGGATTAGTGTTCTTGGAAGAAGAGACATCAGAGGGGGAACTCTCTCTTCATGCACGCACACCCAGGAAGACCATGTGAGAACGTAGGGAGGAAGCGGCTGTCTGCAAGGCAGAAGGAGAGCTTTCCCCAGAAACTGACCTGCCAGACCTTGATCTGGGACTTCCGGAGTTCAGAACTGTGAGGAAGTGAGTATCTGTGTTGAAGCCACCTGGCCTGCGGTGTTTTGTGGTGCAGTTCAAGTGAAGACACAGGCGCTGGTTTTGTTTGTCCGTTACCTTTTTCCCATTAGGGCCGTAGCACTTGGCACATGGCAGGGACTTGGTAAATAGTCGTTAAATGAATGAATGAAACTTCTCCTCTGTGCGGCGTTTCAAGGTGTCTGGGAAGTGTGAAAGCAGCGGGGCTGGGAAATCAGGAGACCTGGACTGGGTCATAGTTTTGGCCCTGCCCTGGCACCACTATTAATCCACTGTGTCCCTTCCCTCTCTGGGCCTCAGTTTCCTGATCGGCAAGATAGTACAGCTCAGCAAGATGACCTTTCGAGGTCCCACCAGGGATAAAATCGTATAAGAAAAATAGTTCCCCTGGAGCAACCGGGTGGCACCATCGGCGAGTCTTGATTTCAGGTCAGTCATGATCTCAGGGTTGTGGGCTCGAGTCCTGCATTGGATTATGTGCTCAGGGTCAGTGTGGAGTCTGCTTAAGATTCTTCCCTCTCTCTGCCCCTCCCACAACTCATGCACGTGCCCATGTGCATGTTGTATGCTCTCTCTCAAAAAAAAAAAAAAAATTATCTCCCCTTTCTGGGGCCCTGCTGGTGATCGAGGCACTGTACTTGTCCCTTTTCTCTATTGCTCCTCACTCTTGACTGGAGAGGTCGAGACGCCCTTGTCAGCATTTCACAGGTGAGGAACACCAAGGCCTGGAGCAGTGACCAGCCAGAAAGGGGAGGAGCGCTTCTAGCATTAAAAACATTGTCCTTTATCCTGAGATTGTGTCCTTCCAGTTTTTGGGGATTGAAATATTCTTTAAGAAATGATTCCTCTCCCCCTTTTTAAAAGATTTTATTTATTTATTTGGAGAGAGACAGAGCAAGTGGGGTAAGGGGCAGAGGGGACGCAGGCTCCCCAATGAGCAAGGAGCCCGATGTGGGACTCAATCCTGGGACTCCGGATCATGACCCAAGTCAAAGGCAGGTGCTTAACTGACTGAGCCACCCAGATGCCCCAAGAAATGACCCTTTTAAGATACTTACAGAGAAGAATGAGAATTTGGCCATCTATGCCTGTCCCTAAAAGTCATTTGGAAATTTGATAGCTGCATGAAATCCCAAAGTCTTCAACCACATAAATTATGTACATGGAAGGGTTTATTATGATGATGATTATGATTATTTTAGAGTTTCTAGTATACATTAAGCATCGTCAGGGCACACGTTCCAAGAGGCCTGGATTCACATCAGAGCTCAGCCTCTAGTGCCTCTGGCAAGTCAAGTAACCCCCTTGAGCCTCATTTCCTCATCTGTAAAGTGGGGGTGATAACAGGGCCTTCCTTGTGTAATGCACGTAGTCTCGGGGCGGCGCACGGAAGAGACTCACTACGGTGAGTTGTGATTATCGGCACATAGGGAGTTGATATGCAGTCAGGGAGAGAGTCATAGTCATCAGTCACAGGCTGGGAAGAACTACTCAAGGAACACGGCTGGGTGATGAATTCCCACCACGGTAGTGGTTTCAGCGTTTCTGAAGTCACCAACGTCCTGCTTAAAGGAGTGCGTTGTGTTCATTCTAGCCAAGTCCTACACCTTCAGGTAAAGCACTTCCCAGCCTCTAACCTGTTAAAGGCGGGCAATGACTTTTACCCCATAGCACAACAGTGGAGCTTGAACTCTGGCCAGTGTCAGAAACAGCTGGGAAACTTGGTCGAAATGCAACGGCCCAGATTCCCTCTACTTCAATGAGTCAGAGTCTCTCTGTGGCTTATTACCTCCCCAGATGATTCTGATACACACTAGCTTTCAAAAGGACCGTCAAAGAGTGAAAGAAAAAAGGCCCTTTGTTTAGTTTACTCTACAGGGTCATAAAAGATTATTATCATTATTTAAATCTCATTTGTTCCACCCACCGGGGCAATACTAAGTGAGTAGGCTGTGCTCACACAAGGGCCATGGGCTCCAACCAAAGAGAGGCTGGGCCTGCAGCTCAGCGCCCAGGGGGGATGAAAAGCACAGGCCCCCAGGGTCCTCAGTGCCTTAGAAGTCCCCTACAACCTAGCACCCAGGGAGAGTGGGTCCCCCCTAGCAAGTTGGAGGAGAGAGAAGCAATACCTTTCCTGGGGTCACAGCAGCTTCATGTAAGGGTGGCAGTGGAACCAAGAGCTGCAGACGCTTGGGTCAGTGTTAAAGGCCTTGCTTTGGAGGCCCCCACCTGGAAGGAGCCCTCTCGCCGGCTGACAGTGATACGACAAGTCGGATGCCTGCAGACAGTGCTCTGCAAGTTTCCCTGTAGCTGATGACGTCTGGGAAGGGCCCCCAGCAAATTCCCGTATTCCAGCAGCTCCTTTCTCAAAGGTCTGAAGATTAACTCAGGCTTCTCACAACCTGGGGAGGAAAACAGGACCTGGCCCGTATCTAAACATCTCAAGCTCCTTTACAATCTCATTCATCCATCTTGTTGCCTCAGGGGGAGCCAAAATCTGTTGGTGGGATGAAAGCTGAGATTAGATCGAATTATAGAACCTCAGTGCTGCGAATGAGCAGACCCGAGGATGAAGCCTGCCGCCCCACAGACCAGGAATGCTGCCACGTAATGCTGCCAGACGAGTGAAGAGAAGACGTTCCAAACCGCAGCAAGTGTCTCCGTTAATTCAGGGCAAGAGCCTTGAAGGGTGGGGCCAGGATTCAAACCAGGAGGTCAGTGTGGTGGTCACAGCTGCAGGCTTCTGAGATAGAAAGATCTGGCTAGGGTAGATTTGGGGTTCTGCCAAGGATTAGCGGTGCCTTCAGGCAAGCTAGTCTATACCTCCCTAAACCTCAGTTTCCACATCATAAAAACAGAATGACAATGCTACCCGGAGAAGTAGTTGGGCTTTTTTGAACCTGACGCTTATACCACTTGGGTGGGGATAGGGAGGTGCTTGTAAGGGGTGGAGTGGGCCTCTTTAAGGGAAGGAGTACAAAATTACAAATTCAAAATTGCATACAGGACTTTGGAAGGGGTCCCATGTGAGGGAGGGGCTGGACAAATCTGTCTTGAATGCTACGGTTAGCTGAGAGATCACTGGAGTAAAGCTCTTGGCACATGAAATGATGGTACGGAGAGTGGTCTGGCTTGAGTAAAATGCTATAATTTTAAGGAAGGAGGAAATCTTGGCCTGTGCATCTGTGACTGAAGCAGAGATAATGACAGAAAATGAAACACTAGAGAAACCCCCACGAGTCCTTCTTTAGCTGCAGAGTTCTATCCCGAATGTCATGCGCGACCTTAGGCAAATCATATGCTCTCCTGGTGTCTGTGTCCTACCCAGTGAAATGTGGCTTGGGGTTGTACAGTCTCTGCCCTTTTCCCAAAGAACCCCCACTGCTTTCTCCCTGGAACCTCACAAAAGCTAAGAAGCAGCTAGAGATGAGTGAGTGCTTGCTTCTTTTCCTCCCAACTTTTCCCAGGGAAGAGGATCTCCCGGAAGGATGCCTTACAACGGTTGTCAGCCAGTGGGAAGTGGAGCCCTTAACCTGGGATGAATAAGGAGATGGGGTGTGGAGGTATTCTCCCGGAGACAGAAAGAGGGTATTAATTAAAAAGCCTGGTCCCCACTCTTTCATTTTCTGGCTGTGTGACATTGGGCAGGTCTCTTTAGTTCAGAGTCTGGTTTCTTCATTATTTAATTTATAGGGATAAATGAGAAAATATAAGTAAAGCATTCAGGAGAATGTCTGTCTCTTAGTGAAGTGCTTCATACCTGTTAGTTAGGAAAATGAGGGGTATTGTCACTGCTATTAGGTGAGGTGGATGACTCCCCTCCCGAGTCTGTTCCTGCCTCTCTGTTCTAGCCTCTCCTGCAGGAGCTGCTGGGGCTTCTTGGGGCAGGAGGAGCAAACTCCGGGGGAGGTGGGCGGAGCCTCATTCCAGCTCCACCAGAGCCTCCTGAGGCACAGCCGCTGAGCTGGGGTTTGCACCTGACGGACACCTTCCTGCTTGCAGAGCAGACCTCCTCCACACCCAGAGCCCTCTCTCGGAAGCAATCATGCCTGTGACGAAGAGTGCCGGGGGTCCCCAGGGCACTGTTGACCTCAAACTGGACCTCAGGTCCCCTCCCAAAAGTGCCAAGAAGCTACAGAGCAAAGACTCCAGTTTCTGGGATGGATGTCCTTCCGAGTCACCAGGCTTAAAGAAGACCAAGGGCATAACGTGAGTGCTTTTTTCTGCCACCTCCCATTTCTGCCTCTGAGCCTGCAAGCTTGCATTGACAAAAACCCTAGCGCAGCTGTGTCTGACGCCCAGCCCATTATGCAGATGGGAAAACCAAGGTCAAAAAAAGTACAGGCAGAGACTGAGTCAAGGTGAGAGGTTACAGGGGCAGGAGCAGGGACTCAGAAAGCCCTAGGCTCTCATGGTACCACACTCCATAGTGTGGGGACACTAAGTCCCAGTTACCGCAGGCCATGCACTGGGTCATTGGCAGGATGGGCACTAGAATCCAGTGCTGGCCCTAAGTCAGCTTTGCTCCCAGTCAGTCCTGACCATTGGCAGAATCCCTAACTTTCTCCAAGGAGATTAGTTCTGAGCTTAAAACCGTGGCCTCACTGACAACCAGGCAACGACTCCTGTCTAACTCCTTCCTCCAGTCACTCCGACTTCTACTTTGGCCTGTGTTTAAGTTGTGAGGACATCGAAAGCACAGGATGTGGAAGACTTTCTTCTACTTCCCTGCGGTGTGTGTGGGGGGGGTGGGGAGGCTTGCAAACCATGACCAGGAAGGGTCTGCAGAAGGAGTTTAGGAGGGGGAGCCACACTACGGGGCTCAGCAATCACCGCCTCCACCGCCCAAGCCGAGTGGCCAGTCCCCTTAGGAAATGTGGGTGGGTGGCCTGCTGGAGAGTGCTGCTGCTTTAAGAAGAAAATGTTGACAGCACTGATATAGTAGAAAGAACACCTGCGCTCAACTAGTGATTCTGTACCTTCCCTTCCCCCAGCCTCGAGCCCCCCATATGCAAAACAGGGGTAAAGGGGTGGCAGTGCGAATTTAAAGAGACCGCCTGTGGGAATTACGTCTGTTGGGAGGGGGTGTGCGGTAAGCAGGGAGAAGTTACCAGAAGGCAGGCGAAACCCCCTTCCATTGTTAGCGTCAAGACGGCACCAACAGGGTTCATTTGCCCCCAGGGGCTAGCCCTGGGGGCTGTGAATTCCTGACACTGAAAATGAACTCTCCAGGCCTTGGGCCATCCACAGCAGAGCATGGATATTTCTCAATCAGAGGCCTTGGGGGAACCAACCAGCTCTTGTGTCCTAAACTGACCACGTGGTTTGGTGGCATTTCAGCTACTTAAGGATCAAAGACGGTAAAGCACGAGAGAACTAGAGGGGCCCTCACGGTTTGGAGCAGAAGAGAAACATGTCGGGCAAGTGTGGAACTCAGGTCAGCTCACGCGGTTTCAGATGCCCCCTTAGCTGCTAACCAGCTCAAGCAAGTGACAGAACTCACTGCCCCAGTTTCTCCTCTGTGAAATGACAGTTCACTCCTCCCAGGATGGCTGCAAATGTGACTTGCACATAAAGCCCCCAAACACAGGACCCTTAAAAGCTGGCTGCTACGAATACCTTGAAAGTCCAAGGTCACCAAAGGACTTGGGGCTAGAACACCAGTGCCTTGCCTCCCAGCCCAGTGCTCTGCCCAGCTCACCACCCTAAGTTCCTAAGTCAGCTGCGTGGCCCAAAGTTAAATTCTGATTTCTTAAGTCCTTTGCTTAGAAATTTCTAAAGCGACCTGTTGACCCTTTCCCTGTTGCAAAACAAGCCCATTATTGGAGGGCCGAAGGGCACAAGCGCTGGGTCAGCAATGCTGACACCCACAGCGGGAGAGAAGGGCACAGCACTCTCCGCCCACATTTCTCCCTCAATTGTTCTCTTTAACCCGTAACAAATCCATGGGCAGATGCTCAGAAAGCCAGAGGATCTAGGGATTAACACAAAGATAAGGGTGGTTGGGGGCAAATTCTTTCAAAATTTACAGAGGCTCAGCAAAGTAGACCTGTTGGCCAAGATGACACAGCTAGTTAAGTAGTGGCCTTGGAATTTAATCCCTCGTTCATCCAACCTCAGAGACCAGGCTCCCTCCAGAATACCTCTGGTGCCCTTTATAGTGTCCTCGCTGAAAGCCTCTTCCAGGGAATTTCCAATGTTTCTGAAGTTGTGGATATAAACCCAACACTCAACTTGGTCCAACCTGGTCCAGGTACAAAGAGGTATAGTAACAGGTTGTTCCGTAATTCATCAACACAGAGCGTACCTCCCTGGAACTTATCCTTAAAGGTGCCCTTCAGACCACTTTCCCATCTGTCTTAAAGAGGAGATCGGAGTTTTTATTTTTGTTTTTGATTGGGGTGGGAGGAGACATGCCTTTCCCCGGTTTGAGGTCTTGGCCTGAGGGCCAAAAAAATTCCTCTGGAGCCCGATCCTCAAATGACCTTGTCTCAACAGACCCCATCTGGGGTCCTATTTAATTCAGAAGTCACCATGAAGTCTCTTTGCTGCTGGCCCCTTTCCCTTTTCTCTGAGTTCAATCCTATCTCAGCTACTAGTTTTATGACCATGGGCCATCCCCTTTCTGAGCTTCCATTTCCTTCATTACAAAATGGGATTTTTCCTTTTATGTGTCTCTCTGGGCCTATTTCCGGGAGGTGGTCCAGTAGAAGCAGGGTGAAGAACAGGGATACGGAGGCATTTCTGAGTTCAAATCCTGACTCCCCTGTGTGTCTCTGGACATGTCATTAAAAAAAATCTCTATGCCTCAGTTTCTTCATCAACAAAATAAGGACAATAATGTACTTCCTAGGCTTGACAAGAGAATTAAATGAGGTAATACGGGTTAAGTACTTAGCATAGTACCTAGTATATAGTAAATATTATCATGGCATATGTTGAGTGTTAGCTGCTAAAACCATGACAGGCAAACTGAGACGGTTGGTCACCCTATAGGAGACCCAGAGGTGCCAATCAAGGTCATGGGGACAGAGAGATGGCCAGGAGCCCACCTATCCAGCTGAACTCAGCTGTTGGCATGTCATGAGGGAATGCCTGTTGGACCTCCTCACCTTCACACACCTACACCCTCATGTCTCTTTCCTCTCCTTTAGAGCCTTCCAGACCTTGGTTCACCTGGTGAAAGGCAACATGGGTACAGGGATCCTGGGACTACCGCTGGCTGTGAAGAATGCAGGCATCCTGGTAAGAGGGGGTGCTGCAGGTTGGGCCAGCATGACAGGGTTGGAAGGGGAAATAAGTGGGAGGAGAGGCTCTCAGAGTTTATAATGGGTTGCGAGAAGCAGTCTTTCTTGGAGGCAGCTTGGTCCAGACCTGGAGTCTAGACATCAGCCAGGGTTTGAGTTCTGGCTCTGTCACAGAATTGGAGTGGCCCTGGTGAGTCATTTGTCCCTTCTTTGCGGCTCAGTTTTCTCCCTTGGAGAATGCAGGAGTTGGACGAGGACGAGTTTTCTGATTGTGCCTTATGTAGCACTAGGACGCGTAGACACCTCTGAGGTCACTAAGGGTCAGAATCCTGAGTCCCCCACTCACACTACAACACCCATTGTAATTGCTTTATGTACTTTATTGGAGTACTACTTGAGATTATATTTGAAAGCACCGTTATTGCTGCCAAAAAGGACTTCCAAACCAGTTTGCTAGAAAGTTCCTTGAGTGCCAAATGGTATCTGCGCTACCAAATCTGTCCTTGCAAAGTTCTTCCTAAATCCATTCCCTTCTCTCCTCCCCTTTCCCTTGGCTCCCCCTTCCCTCAGATGGGTCCGCTCAGTTTGCTGGCCATGGGCTTCACCGCCTGCCACTGCATGCACATCCTGGTCAGATGTGCCCAACACTTCTGCCACAGGTAAGGAAAACAGCATCCTCATGTCAATTGCTTTGGTCCTGGGTTCTCAGGGATGTCCCAGAAACATCCTACATAAAACAAGAGTTTACTTCTTTCTTCTAACAAGGCTAAGAAAAAGAGAAAAGCATTTGGGACAGAGACCTAAGGTGAGGCTCTGCCACATGACTCATTAGGTGATCTCAATCAGGCCACTGGGATTATCTGCTTGGCTCATCTGTAAATTGGGCATAAACAATCCATGCCTAACCCTGCCTCAGAATTGTGATGAGGATCCATTGGGATCCTGGATAGGAAAACTGCTGTACCTCACGCAAGGTGTGCTTTATTACCCTGGTTCTGGGGGAACCACCCTGCTTGACAGGTAAGGAAAACAAGCCACCCAGGAAATACTGCCAGGTGTCTAAGTCTGAACTAGAACTTGGGTCTCTGCCCCAGTGTACTTTCTCCTCCAGCTGGGTCCTGCCTTCCTGTGTGTCTCCAGACCTTTTAATACAGGATCTGAGGTTAAACACCCTCTTGGTAACTCTATATGCACTTTCTCCTACAGGCTTAACAAGCCCTTCATGGACTATGGTGACACGGTGATGCACGGACTGGAAGCCAGCACCAGCGCCTGGCTCCGGACCCATGCCCACTGGGGAAGGTAACTTGTTCTTACTCTGCCTGAAGTGGAGTGAGCTAGAGGAGGAGGAAATATGGCTGTCAGGGATGCCTTCTTCCCTGGAAAGCTGGCTCATGTGGCACAGAATGACGGGCTTTCCACATGGAAGGGGTTCACTGGAAATCTTCCTAATCCAGGACCCCACCTTGTATACTTTCCTTTTTTTTTTTTTTCAGCTTTAGTATTATTCACTTCTTTATTAAACTATGCTTATCCTGTTGGGCTGTGTACAGGCCCTGGAAATACTGTGGGGAGAAAGGCAAACAGGCATTGCTACCACAGAACCCATTATCCAGCGGGAAAGACAAGCATCACACAGGTTAGGAGACAGTCACTTCATAACCACTAGGATGAGTGTGATGAAGGAAGGAAATACTAGTTGTTACTGAGCAGATAAGGCAATGTGTGTGGGCTCATGTGGGCTTCCTAGGAGGGAACAGTTGAGATGAGCCCTGAAGGAAGGAATTCTTAAGGATAAGCAATTACCTAAGTTAAAGTGGGCAGGAGCCTGGATTGCCTTCCCGGAAGATGAAAGAGCAGAGCGTGAAGGTCTGAAGCTAGATGGAATGTGTGACAGTTTCAAGGTACAGAACAAAGGGAGCTTGAGGGCAGAGTCAATGAGATGAGGCTGAAGAAGGATCCAGAGTTCCAAGCAAACTCTACATTGTAGACCTTCTTAAAGGTTTTTGTTCTTTTCTTTAATACCATGAAGCCGCCACTGGAAGGTTTTAATCAGTCAAGTGATCACATTTGCGTTGTTTAAACATCTATCTGGCTTCTGTTAGGAGAATACATTATAAGTGAGCAACAGGTCAGATCCATGAGGGGGCTATTGGCAACGTCCAGGGAGATAACAATGACAGCTGGGACCAAGCTGGTAGCAGTGGGGGTGGAGAAAAGTGAATTTGGGTTATGCTTTGGATCCCAGGACTGTGGGAAAAAGGAAAGTCAAGGTTGACTCAGATTTCTGATGACTTTAAGTTTAGACAAGTTGGGTTTTAGGTTCCAGTGGAGATGTCAAACGGGTAGGGATATGTACAGTTTGAACCCGTCTTCATGTAGGACATACAGAACTAAAGTCATCAGCACGAAGCCAGGGCGCAGAAGACATCCCTTAGGGAGAGAATTTATAGTAAGAAGAAAAGTGTTAAAAACAAACAAACAAACAAACAAACATGTTAAGGACCCTTTGCTGAGCAGACATCCTCCTCCAGCAACTCCCACCTTTTGCTTTCGGGACTGACACAGAACAATCAACCCCCTCCATGCTCGGTACTTGGGACTAAATCTGCTCTTTTGTCTTTGTTTTCAGGCCTGTACCCAGTCTGTCCACATGCTCTTTTCTGAGTACCATCTAGGTCAAAGTCTCTCTTGAATTGTGATACTCTAAAACATTCCAGCCCTGCTCTGCACCCTCTCACGAAATGTAGTCTGCAGAGCATGGTGGCCCTGGCACCGCTCTTGGCCCAAAGCCCGTTCACATCCTGAATCAATAAATTCAGCCTCTGAGCAGACTCAGAAGGCTTTGGGATGATGACCAGAATTTTTCCAGTGTGTGACCCAAGAAGAGGCTCTGTCTGTCATTTACCCCTCAAATCCTTCTACCCATCGTTGGACATATAAAGCAGCTCTTCCTGCTCTCCTTAGGGACCTGGCTCCCCTAATCATCTCCTCTCCTATAACTTGAACTTTTCTTTGGATCTATGGGCTCTTCCAATCAACATTTAAATGCGTTCACGTGTCTCCATCTTAAAAAATAGTGAAATAAACTCATAAAGCTTCCTGGACTTCACACCATCCTGTAGCCACCACCCAATCTCCTATTCAGCAGCTGCTTATTCGACAGAGAGCTATTGAGTCCCCGCAGTGTGTCCAGACGGGTTGTGACAATGGGTCTACAATGATGAGCAGAATGGGCACCATCGAGACTGAAGCTCACACTTAGCTCCGTGAAAGAACAGCACACATTCTGACTTTACTTCCATCCGTCTGGTTCACACCCCTTCCGTGGGTCACCTGGCTTTTCTGTCCTTAGACTTCTGTTGAAGTTCTTTCTGCCTACGTCCTAAAAGACCTCCTTGTTGCCCCTTCTTCAACTTAGAGAACCTCTCAACAGTGTGGGTACAATTAAACATTCTCTTCATCAGGTGTTTTCTCCTCCCTTGGCTTCTATTAAACCCTTCCCTCACCCCTAGTTTCCCACTTACCTCTCTGGCCAGCCCTTGGCTTTCATTACAGGCTCCTTTGTTCCTGTCTTACCTTTAAATACTGGTGTTCTCTAGGGTTTGGGACACCAGCTTCTCACCTCCTCCCTCTGTGCACTCCCCAACACTGACCTGCCTTCTTAGGGCTTTATCTATTACTGACAAATCAATAGTTCCAGACCCTCATATGTAGTCATCTCCTGAACCATAGGAGCCTTAGGTTCAACAATTCAGATACTGAATGTGTCATTTCTTCCTCTTCCCCCAAAACCTGTTCCTTCTTTCCCATTCATTTCATTGTCCTAGCCAAAGCCTGTCAGGAAACTCTGAACATTTCCCTTCCCTTTCCACTAGAGGTTAGTGGTCACCAACTTCTGTAAGTTCTAGCTCCCTAGTACCTCTTAAATTGCTTTAATTCTCTCCTCCTAATAACCATGTCTTTGTCCAGGCTGCTGGACACCTCTGTTATTATAAGAATCTGCTACGTGGTCTACCTATCTTGAGTCTAGTCCCTCCAGTGGATTCCCCACAACCAGAGAAATCTACCTTCTCCCTCTGCTGAAGTGCTTTCCTCACTCCTTCCTCTCCACCCCTCCTCCTCAGTCTTTTTTAAAAATTTCTCTCTTTCTTCCCCTTCCCAAGGGACACCTGCTCAGGTATTGGTTTTTCTATGAAGGCTATCTGCTCTATAATTAGGATAAACTGTCCTTTCACCGTGGCCCTGAGTGTCAATTCTTTTTTGGTCACTGTTCTATGAACCAGTGAGGGGACCATGTGTTATTTGTGTTTCCCTCAGAGCCTAATATGGCGTCTGGCGCATGGTAGAAAAAAATTGCATGTTAATGATAGCTAATAAAAATGGTGTGCTTGGTAGGAGAAGAGTAAATGAAACAAGATGGGATTGGGAGGGAGACAAACCATAAGTGACTCTTAATCTCACAAAACAAACTGAGGGTTGATGGGGGGAGGGGGGTTGGGAGGGGGGTGGGGTTATGGCCATTGGGGAGGGTATGTGCTATGGTGAGTGCTGTGAAGTGTGTAAACCTGGCGATTCACAGACCTGTACCCCTGGGGATAAAAATATATGTTTATACAAAATAAAATTAAATTTTAAAAAAATGGTGTGCTTGTTTCTATACGTCAATTAGTATCAATTATGAGGAATGCCACAGAGCCAGGTGTTGGGGGAGGCTCCCAACTATGAAGAATTTCCCCACTTGCTGAGCTGGGAGTGTGAGGGTGGTTGAGAAACACTTTTTTTAAAAGGAATGATTGTTACCTCCCTTCTTACAGCCCATTGTTGACTGCGTTAGCAGAAGCGAGGGTGCTGGTACAAGGTCACCAACCCCTGGGGACAGAACTAGAAACGACAGACCAACTCTTCTTTTATAACATGTTTTCTTTCTCCTCTCTTCCAGGAATATCGTGAGCTTCTTCCTTATAGTCACCCAGCTGGGCTTCTGCTGTGTGTACATTGTGTTTCTGGCTGATAATTTAAAACAGGTAGAGTGTTCCAGAGAAGGTGGAAGGGGAAAGGACGTGGAAAAAGAGGGTCCTCTGTGAATTGTTCAGCAAATGTGGCTTCTTCTTTTGGGCTCCTGATGTCCTCATGAGTACAACAAAGGAAGTTAAACTAGATGTTATGAAGGAATCCAGACTTCCCCGGTTCACTGATCTGTTCTGCAAGTGTTTACTCTTTCCAGTATCTTGGGCCTGTTCTCAAAGCCGGTCTCTAACACTGAGCTGGTAGAAACCTAGAATTTTGTCAGTTGTCCTGCCTTGGAGCTTAATCATCCCTAACTCTCCCGAGACTGATCTGGCTCTTTTTGGATGATCCCTCATCTTTGGACCATCTTTATCTACCTTTAGCTGCTTAACCTCTGGTTTAACAGTTGTTGTCTCCAGGAAGTTGTTTTGATCTAGCCCAGAAGTTATCTTGTAGGAATTTAAGCAAAATATGGTGGGTAATAACAAAGGCCATCTTTAGTCAATTAGTGAGTTTAAAAAAGAAATTATTCTTTAGGGCTCTTTTTGTTTGTTTGTTTATAATACCAGAAATTTAGAAATGTAAAGAAATTAGGCAGAAGGAACAAAATCGCATGCATTCAAGGTTAACTGCTATTCTATGTCAGAAACAGGAAGTTTATGTCTGCTTTCCCCCATTTAGTTCTCTCTGGGCCTTTTCATGGTAAGTATTGTGGTTATTCCTATTTTGTTGATGAGAAAACTAAAACTATAAACTCTATAAGGTGTAGAAGACCACAGAGCCAAGGTTAAAAATCCAGGCCTTCCAACATCAGAGCTCAAGTTTTTGAACACTATGCTATATTACTTTTCAAAATGAAACAAAATTGGGGTGCCTGGGTGGCTCAGTTGGGTAAACATCTGACTCTTGACCTCAGCTCATGCCTTCATCTCAGGGTCGTGAGTTCAAGCTCTCTGTTGGGCTCCACGATGGGCATCGAGTCTACTTAAAAAAAAAAAAGTAATAAGAAAGGGAGGAAGGAAGAAAAAAGAAAGAAAATTATTAATTCAACCACTCATGGTTATTGTTTTAAGTTAGTATTAACTAGTTAGCATTTTGTAATGTGCTTACATATTTTTGTCCTTATGTTTTTTTAATGAAATTTTTACCAGTTTCATAATATTTCATCACACTGATTGGCCAGAACGTAGTCTTCTCTCGTTGGATATTTTATTTGTTTCCCTTTGTTTTTCTGCTATAATCTCTGGAAGGTTTTGTACACCCCTTTATTTCTTTGCAATATATTCCTTAAAGTAAAATTACTGGATCAAATAGTTTGATTGTTTGAAGGCTCTTAAAACATGTCGCCAAACTGCCACTTGGAAATTAGTCTGCTATCAGCTGAACGTTATCATCTGTCTAGATACAAGGCAAGCATTCTCTCCAAGAGTTTGCAGGCTAAGTAGGATGTGTTCTAAAACAAACAAGCTAGCTCTCAATATATTTTGGTGCTGGGTCAGGACACTACCAACAATGCTCTAAAGACAGGGCCGCTTCACGGTGAACTTAAGGGGCAAAAATATGCGGGGGCAGGAAAGACCATTGCAACAAGGGAAGGCTCCTTTACAGAGGTGCCACCAAGCAGGGTGTTGAAGGACAGGTTTGAGGAGTAGGGGTGGCAGTGAGGGAGGGAGGAGTGAACACCTGGAGGCAGGAATGTACAGCCCCGCTCAGGAGAGGCCATAAAATTGGTTGTAGGAAGGTGTGGACTTTGGGAGACTTGAATGGGGCCCATGATGGAGGGCCATGAATGCCTGCTAATGTTTCAAGTACTTTTCCTATTGAAAGGAACCAGAAGGTGAGGAATTAGAAAAAAACAAGACTTAATGGTTCATCTAAGTAACCATGTTTGTGTGTTCTTAAGTGAAAAGGAGATTTCAAAATAAGAGCATATGCTGTGATTGTGGTCTTGTAAAAAAAAAAAAAAAAAAAAGTTGAGTATAATACATGTAATTTGTGATATGGTATAGAAAATGCATAGATGAATATATTCCAAGACATCACTTTGGCTACCAATGCGTACTGAGATCATCATTGTTTTTACATCTTCTTCTTGCCTAATTCTAGTCTCTAATTGTTCTGCAATGCTCTGCAATATTGCTTGCACGGTAAGACGGTACCCATTAAGCCAGGCTGATTCTAATCTAGGGTAGGACCATCCCTCTCCTCCCAACTTCAGGGGGTTGTTTGTACTGTGTGCAGGGGGCTGTTTCTTGTTTTTCACAATGATTGGGGGATGCAAATAGCTTTTACTGGGTGGATGCTAAATGTCCTGCAGATAATGGTCCAGTCCTCATAAGGAGTAATTCTCTCGCTCAAATGCCAGTATTACTCTGATTAAGAAACAGTAAGTGATGGGTTTTTGGTTATAAGCAAAAGAAACTCTAACTCATCGTGAGGCCCTGGCATGTGAGACTTGCTTTGTGTGAGGGAGTTTGGTTATGGGCCAGGCACTAAGCTAATCACATGGCCAGTAGATGTATTGACTCTTCCCTCTTCCCTCTTCCTGTTCCTTCCTCAGATAGTGGAAGCAGTTAATGGGACCACCAACAGCTGCCATTACAATGAGACAGTGATTCTGACACCCACCATGGACTCTCGACTCTACATGCTCTCCTTCCTGCCCTTCCTGGTGCTGCTGGTCCTCATCCGGAACCTCAGGGTCTTGACCGTCTTCTCCATGTTGGCCAACATCAGCATGCTGGTCAGCTTGATCATCATCACCCAGTATATTGTCCAGGTTAGTGGACCTGACTCCTCCAGTGGGCAGAACCTTTTATCAATAATAGACTGATACCTACCTAAGGCCAACCCTGAGAATAGGCGTGAACCTCACTCTTGAGTCTCGTACCATTGTAATATTCTTTCCACGAAGATGTCTCTGTGCAATCTCATTCTTCTGGATAGGTCCTCTTTTATGTTGCTGTTCCAATCCTTGTTGAATTCTGGACTTTGAAAAAAATTTTGCTTTGCAAGGGAAACATCTTGATTGGTGAACCACAGACCATTCCTGTAATGGTTGGATAGCAGTAAAAGGCAAATGAAAAGCATGATCTCCTACTAAAGCTGAAACTTAGCGAATTACCTATGGTCTTACATCCTCTAGGCTACCATTCCAGGTACCAAAATTACCCACAGGAACTCAAGAGAAAAAGAAAAATACTTAGTCACAGAGGCATGGTCTCAGAAGACCACAAGCAAATCTATCACAATGCAAATTACAAAGCCTTCAAGGTTGAGTTGTGGATATTGATTTTCCCTCCATTTCCCACTTTTCTATCCTTTCTAATGTTTATTTACTGGACAAGACTACATAGAAATTTAAACCCAGAAGGCCCTTAGCATATCTCTCATATCATCCAGATATCTGGATAAATCTGAAAGATTTATCTTTCAGAAGTCTCAAGAAAAAGTTATCTTGTCCATGGAATTTAGTAAAAAAAAAAAACACACAAAAAACAAATTAGTCATATTTTAGGATAACTACAAATAGGTCCTATCTTCCTTAAGGCAACATCAATAAATTCTACAAAATTGAATTTCCTAACAAGATAGCTACCTTCAATTCATTTTTGGACCATTCTTGAAGTTGCCCAGTTAGAGAAATGGCTCTATAATTATTGTCCCATTCAGGTCACAGGGTGCATGACATATTTATTCCACACATTTTCTTTCCCTTTAATTTATAACTCATTGAAGAAAAGGGGGCTTTCACATCTGACTAATTACTGTGGACTCCTGAGAATATCACTAACTATAGTCATAGCAGTTTCTGTCACCTGTAACCACTGGTACATTTCTAGTGTCCGTGGGCACTGCAGGCTGGTACCAGCCTGTGGTGCATTAAATTTTCTTTTGGAGGATTCTGGTAACCATACTACCCCCATGAGGTACTGACCCTTCAGTACTTCGACAATACCTCAATGTTTCTGTCCTCTGACTCTTTGGTGGTGTACGTGTTAAAATCAACTTTGATGCCTACTTCCTTTTGAAGTTTTCCAAATTTCTTGACATTACTATTTTTTTTTTAAATTTGGGTCTACTCTCAGAATATTCCCCCTCTTAAATGAACCAAAACATGCTTTGAGAGTTAAGGTCTTACTACATTTCTCTCTCCTGTAGGAAATTCCAGACCCCAGCCAGTTGCCACTGGTAGCAAGTTGGAAGACCTACCCTCTCTTTTTTGGAACAGCTATTTTTTCATTTGAAAGCATTGGTGTGGTAAGCTTTGAATTGGGATAATCCTTTGGGTGGCCCTCTGAATAGGAGCTGGGAACTCTCAGTTTCTGGGTTTCTGTGTGCACACAGGAGAAAGTAACCTCTTGTCCCAATACATCTATTAAACATTTATCTTCCAACCAACATGTGTTTCCTAATCTTTTAAACTCAAGACAAATAGAGGTAGATAATTTACAGGATCCAATGAAACAAACAAAAACAGTTTTAAGCTGGGAAGTACTGTATATTTACAATGGATTTTTATATAGTTTATGTTTCCACACTTGAAGGGTAGTGCTGTGTATGTAATTTTGTTTACTTTTAATTTGCATGTGCTAAATTCAGTTTGGTGGGGCGAGTGTGTACATTTCTGTAAGTCTGGGAAATGCATAGAGTCACAGATGTGCCCCATTCAGGACACAGAACAGCTCCCTCACCACTGGAAACTTCCTCATGCCGTCCCATTGTAGTCAGCTCCTCACCTCCCACTAACCCCTGGCAACCACTTTGTTTTCTGTCTCTGTTGTTCTGTCTTTTCCAGAATGTCCTATACCAGGCATCACGCAGTACTTAACCTTTTGAGACTGCACGTAAGATCACCTGGGTTGTTGCATGCCTCAGTAACTCCCTGCTTTCTATTGCTGAGCTGCCGCTGTATAGACAACACCACGATTTGTTCATGAGTTCACCTGCTGAAGAACAGTGAGGTTGTTTCTAGTTTTTGACAACTATGCGTAATGCTGCTATAAGCAAGTGTTTATGCACAGGATTTCATGTGAAGATAACTTTTCATTTCTCTAGCAGTAGGTTTGCTAGTCACATATTAATGAATATGGTTTAACTTTATAACAAATGCCACACAGGTTTTCATAACGGCTGTACCATTTGGCTTTCCCACAGGCATGGGTGAGCATTCCAGCTGCTCTGCGTCCTTGCTAGTTCTTATAGTCCTGTCAGCATTTTTTTCTTCTGCCATTCTAATAGGTTCATAGTCGTGTTTGATTGCGATTTAATTTGCATTTTATTAATGACCAATAATCTTGAGTTTCACTTTGTGGGCTTGTCCTCTATATATCCTCTTCAGGCAAGTATCTGTTCCAATCTAATGCAAACTTTTAAAAAAAATGGAGCTTTTGAGTTTTAAGAATTCTTTACATATTACAAATCCAAGTCCTTTATTGGATATATAATTGCAAATATTTTCTGCAGTCTGTAACTTCTCTTTTCATTCTCTTAACAGTGCCTTTCATAGAGCAAAATTTTAAATCTGATGAAGTCCAGTACGTCAAAATTTTCATTTTATGGATCCTGCTTTCAGGGTTTTATCTCAAAACATTTTGCCTAAACCAAGTTCACAAAGATTTTCTCCTATATTTTCTTCTAAGTATTTTATGGTTTTCATTGTACATTTAGATCTATGATCCATTCTGAGTTAATTTTTGATAAAGCTGCTTGTATGTTGAAGTTCTTTTTTTTAACAGAATACCCAATTGTTCCAGCATCCTCTGTAGAAAGACTGTCCGTTTTCCATTGAATTGCCTTTGTATCTTTGTAAAAACCTTAACAGTATTGTCTTTCAATCCATGAACATGGAATGTCTTCCATTTATTTGGGTCTTCTTTCATTTCTTTGAACAATGTTTTGATACTTCACATCACTCCCACACATTCACAACTTCAGGCAGAGCCCAGGACTTCACTTACAGATTTAGGGGATCACTTTCTCCAGCATCCTCCTTCCCATGTTTTCTTGCATAGTCACCAGCTTCCAGGGGCTTCTTTTTCTGGTTCTCTGGCTAGAAAGCCAGAATTATAGCCTCCCTGTAGTGCTATGCACATCCTGTGACTGAGTCTGATTGGGGTTAAGCACTGAAAGACAGAGGGAAAAACTTAAATAAAAATGAGTAAATGAATGAATGAATGAATGAACAGCGATTCCTCCCAGGGACTGTTTCATAGACATGCAACCTATGCAGTCACTTAGGGACCTGTCTTTGGAAGGATCCTACACGTGGTTTTTAATGCTCTGCTTTCATCATCTTGAAATTCTTGATTTTTCAACAAAAAGCCCTGCAAATGAAAAGTCTTTTTGCATTGGACCTTATAAACCATGTAGCAGAGCTGATTTATTCCCCACATTCTCTGGACTCCCAAAGCCCCCTTTCCTACTAGTTCTTTTGCTCAAAGAGAAAAATTTGTGTCAGATTTTTAGGTGCCTGTGTGACCACCAGAGTCACTGATACACCAGGATGCTGCTTTGTGACTGGGACTTGCCTTGGGAATGTGATCTTGAGAGCAAAAAAGGAAACAAAAAAGTAGGGGCCCCCCTCCATAGTGTCTGTCCCCCAGGGACCTCTGTTCTATGTCTTCTGGCCAGAAAGAGGGTTTCTCTTGAACTTTTTTCTGTTTCCATCCACTACATAGGATTCTAGGATTTGAGGTCCTCTTGAGTCTAATTTGGGAGATACAGGAAGAAAAAATACCAAGAAGCCCAGTACCATAATGGTCATTTTTACTGGTTTTGATCAAACCATGTGCTGTCATATACTTTTAGAGTCTGTGGATAGTTGTTTTATGTATTCTGCCCAGGACTTCTAATCAGTAAGAGAGCTCTGGTGGAACATGCCTACACCATCTTAATGGAAGTGGAGGCACTTTATATTTAGAACTGGATACTCGTCGCAAAAAGCAGAGTGCAGTAGTTGAGCAAATGCCTTTGGAAGCAGAATATGCTGGAATCTTACTTTGGCCATGGGTTATTCTCTGAACTCTAATTCCCCACGAAATGATGGTAGTTAATTGTTCAGTAAGTATTGAACACCTACTATGTGCTAATGATGATTAGCGTCAGAGTTCACATTAGCTCTAAAAATCTTCTAGCCTAGTCTCCAAACTTTTCATAAGAGCCCAAGCCCTAAAGGGGAAAAGGACTTGAGCCAGGGCACCAGCTGGGAACAGCTGCATCTGTGGCTAAATCCAGGGGTTCCTTACTCCCAGTCCAGGGACCTTAGCACTTTATGTAAATGGTCATTTATCAATTTGATTGATTGCGGGAGGAGAGAAGGAGAAAGCCAGCTACTGAGTAAAAAAGGTAATTTTTAGCCTGGAGAATTTATGCAGTGAAAATGTATGGCAGGGTGGGAAAGCTCAGGTTGGATCATTCACTCTCCGTGTGATTTCCCCAGACGTTTTCCCGAGCACTGGCTGCTACTAGGAGCCTTCCCTCAATCTGGGAGGAAGTGGAAAGGCACAGTGATGACTTTGACCTGGCATTCCCCTCAAGCATTTTCCATTTGTATGGGGCTGAGATGCCTCTAGGACAAAAAAGGAGTTAACAGTACAGAGGACTTGATGCCCAGGTCCTACCGAGTAATAAATACAATGCTGGAGATTGGGGAGAAGCAAGTACTTGAACTTCCGAAGGCAGCCCCAGTCTGCAGCCTCACTCTGCAACTTTCGAGCTGAGTAATTTGGAGCAAGGTACTTCATCTTGGGGCAGTCTTGTTTCCCTCACCTGTAAAATAAGAATTATACAAGTACCATCTTCATAGAGATGTAGTCTTCCCAGTATTAAAAAATAAGAGCAGTTGACATTTACTAAGCTGTTACTGTATGCCATTATGGTGCTCATATAAATCTCCAAAAAATTCCAGTAGGTGAGTTTTCAGATAAAGAAACCGAGGCACAGATCGGCCTAATGCTGCATGCAAGGTGTGCTTGAGTCCATGGCCTGATCAAAGAGAAGGACAGGGTGGAGGAGGGCCATCAGCCGATAGACACCAAAGGAGGAATTTATGGGATGAGAGGCCAGAAGGTTGGTTCCAAAAACAGAAGTGACCTTGGGATGTCCAGCAGGCTCCATGCAGTCCGTCTCAGCTTGGATCTCTCAGAGCCAGGAATGCATCTGGAGAAGGAGGATCCCGAGAACAGGGTGTGTAGGGAAGTGTCCTGCTAGGGAACCAGGAACCTCCAGTCCCAGCTCTGCCACCGTCCGCTGTGTAACCTGAGTCGCAGCCGTCGCATCTGAACAGAGAGCAGCGAATGCACTAGAATTGGAAGTCTCAAACTCAGATGCCTTTAGAAGGCAATGTGAGTGAAGAAACCAGATACTATGTCCATGTGAGGAGGAGAGGTGGGCCTGGTAAATGGGGCAAGAATGGTGTGTGCAAAGACATTCACCTTCAATTGTCTAAAAGGCTATGCTGGCCAAATAAAATGCATCTGCTGGCCAGATCAGGCTGCCTCAGGGGCTGAGCTCCTTGGTCTGCACAACCTGAAGAAGGGCCCTCCCAGCTCTGAAGGTGCAGGGCTCATCTTGTGACAGCAACCCTTCCTTCCTTACTTCCCTCTTTTCTCATTTATTGTGGTAAAATATACCGAACATAAAATTTACCATCTTTACCATTTTTAAGCATGCAGCTCTGTCACGTTAAGTACATTCACAACATTGTGCAGCCATCAACACCATCCATCTTTTGGCCTTGCACAACTGGAACTCTGTACCCACTGAACAGTGACTGTTCATTTGCCCTTCCGTGAGGCCCTGGAAACCACCATGCTACTTCTTGGCTCTCTGAATATGACAACTTCAGATACCTCCATAAATGGGATCAGGCAGTATGTGTCATTTTGTGACTGGCTTATTTCACTCAGCGTCATGGCCTCAAGGTTTATCCATGTTATGGCATGGGTCAGAAGTGCCTTCTCTTTTAAGGCTGCATCATAGCTACTATATGTATATACCATCTTTGCTTATCCATTTATCAGTGGACACTTGGGTTGCTTCTGCCTTTTGGCTATTGTAAACGATGCTGCTATGAAGATAGTTGTACAGATATCTAATCAAGTCCCTGCTTCCAGTTCTTTTGTGATATACCCAGAAGTGGCATGCCTTTCTTTTGTTCATGTTCCTCTTTCTCCTTCTCTCTTTTTACCCTATGATCCTTCTGTAGGTTCTGCCCCTAGAAAACAAGATGAAGGATGCCCGCCGCTTCCCAGCCATCCTGTCTCTGGGAATGTCCATCATCACGGCCCTGTACATCGGCATCAGCTCTCTGGGCTACCTGCGGTTTGGAGATGACATCAAGGCCAGCATAACCCTTAACCTACCCAACTGCTGGTAACTTCACAGGCCTCCAAGTGGTGGGGATTCAGGGCTGGGTGGGAATGCGTGGGTGACTGCCCCCTTCTCCCCTTCACAGATGGCAAACTAAGGTTGAGAGGATCTTCACAGTGAGAAACAGAACTATCATTAGAACCCTGGCTCTGGTTTCTTTGTCCAAGGAGCTCTTCCTTCAATAGCCTGCCATGTTGAGTGAGGCCTTGATGGCTTAGTATGAAGAAGGACTTGATTTAGGAGGAGAGAGAAGTGACAGTTTTTGGTCGCCTAAGGAGAGAAGGGAGGGGCGCTCAGGGAGAACAAGAGGCAAGAGAGAGGAGTTGGTGGGTGGCAACACTCATCTCCAATCACATTTCCTAAGGTCTGGACAATAAGCCTTGCTTTGCCAAAGCCAAGGGTGCACATCCTCCAAGTTAGAGTAGATAAGATGAAAAAGTAGTAAAACAAGTAGTGAGACGAGAACCAGCTTGGGAAGACCACCGGAAAAACCTCTATGTTCAAATGCACCCAATTCATGCAACGGTTAGCAGACCCAGACTTCAGCAGTACCATATCTAAATAGACACATGGCCCCGTACTGCATCATGCAACACTGTCTCCCACACTGAGGCATGTCATTAATTACAGGATGTCTGTCTTTTTAGGGGTTACTTGGAGGTTTAATTTGCCTAAATGGGGCTCCTTCCCCAAGGTGATAAATTATCATTCATGAAGCATTTACTGCCTGCCAGTTAGGTGCAGATACCAATCTAGGCACACACGGGCATGGTGGGTGCTGGCAGAGTAGACTAGGATCTTGATTTTCACTACCTTCCCCAGCTCATGATCCAGGGACAGTGGGGGAGCGATGGTGTATATATACAAATAGAACAGATCCAGGAGGCCTCCAGAGTAACAAAGGGGCTTTGGGGACTTTTGAGGAAAGAAATCCATCAGAATGAGAATCTTTTTGTGCAACAAGACAACTCCAGCCAGACAAGGACAACCCTGTCACTCATGGGCCCACGTCCTCGCTGCACCACCTCCTCGGTTGTGATCATGGATGATTTAGCGAACCTCTCTGACCCTCTGTGTCTTCATCTATAAAGCAGAGGTGCCATGGGAATTAAGTTGGGCATGCAGTACACCTCAAAAGATGGGACAGATGGAAATGGAGTAAAGTGGTGTTTCAGGGAGCAGGACTCAGGAAGCAAGAAAATCAGGGAGCAAGAAACTCAGGAATGTGGAAGTTAATCTTCCTAAGGAAATGATCCCCAGCCTCCCCCAACACACACACACACATACACACAGGTTCACTGAACATGTGAGACGCAGCTACCACCTTAGTGGAATAAAGGAAAAAGTCCTTTCTCCAGAGGTCAAAAAAGTCTTCTATAAAACTCAACCCCCTCCCCGCATCACACCCTGTCTCTGCTCCTAGTCCAAGGCCTGCAAGGAACCGTGCCTCTCCTTTTACCTCCCATCCCCCATGCATCCCTGATTGTAGACCTGCTTCTTCCCCTAAGGACTTGAGTTCTCTCAACCTACTAGAAGCATGAGCTGAGGGCCTGTTCTGTGCCAAGGGCTTTGGGGGAATCCAGAGAATTGCTAAGGACTGACATTAGATCACAAGGGATGGACGTGCTTTAGACCCAGTTTTTTGGTCTTCACTATTTACCACTTGTGTCTCCCTGGGCAAGACAGCAGGCCGAAGCCTCTAGTTTCTCAAATCTAAAACTGACCATCAAGTGATAAGTGGTTTATGAAGGTGTTACACGTAGCCATGCTCAAGATTCTCTCTCTTTAGAGATGACCCTCTGTCACCATTCAAATCTGTCACGCTTCACTCTGTTTTCCCCGCATGCTCTGCCATGACTTCTTCTTGGCTCTGGGAAGTCCCCTGCCCGTCATTTTCAGACAAGGAACCTGGATCCCAAGGGACGATCCCGCAGTCAGAGGTTAATGTTCCAAGGAGGCCGGGTACCTGAATGTGGTGGCCTCAGGGGGCATTGCTCTGGTTTGTCCCGCAGGCTGTACCAGTCGGTGAAGCTGCTGTATATCATTGGGATCCTGTGTACCTATGCCTTGCAGTTCTACGTCCCTGCAGAAATCATCATCCCCTTTGCCACCTCCCAGGTGTCAAAGCGCTGGGCACTGCCTCTGGACTTTTCTATCCGCCTCGCCATGGTCTGCCTGACAGGTGAGTACAAGGCCAGGCAAAATGTTGCTCTTTTTCCTGAGGCTGTCAGGAATCTGCCAGGTGGTGAAACATAGTCCTGATAACCAGTGATGACTGAGCACTAATTGTATCTCGAGGACCGCACTAAAGCTTCACAAGTAGTAACTCATGTAAGCCTCGGGGACAACCTGATTCTTCTCTGTACCTAATTAGTCGGATTCACAGGTGTCCAGACTGAGGGAGTGACACAGGAGTCTGAACAATAATCATAATGATAAGACCCGACATTTATTAAATACCTGCCGTGTACCAGCCACGGTAAGTACACATTTTTTAGGCCAAATTTCATAGTATTTTGTTCGGCCCTGCAGGAACTCTTAGGAGGTAGGACTATGATAAACTTTCCTTTACAAATGAGAAAACTGAAGCAGAGAGCCATAAGTAATTGGCCAGGAAGTGCCAGAATTGGATTTGAACCCACATCAGCTAAGTCTGGAGTCAGCACCCTTCACCTGACAGGTCAGTGGCCAGTGAGTCTAATCTAACAGCAGAAGTGGGTTTTCGAGCCTCCGAGTGTTGTATAAACTTGTGCCGACATTTAAAATGTCCGAGATCTCACATACAAATCCAGATTTCTAACGTTTTGTGGGGGAAACAATTAAAATGGTTCGGCAAGCCGAGGATCACATTCCCCACTGGCCACAGGGAGCGGAACTTGCCCCCTGGGCTTCGGCTGGCCCTGCTCACCCCCTCGGAGTCCTCCTTATGCCCCAGGCCCCGTGATCCAGGGCGCCCGCCCCACATCGACAAGTGTTTCAGCAGGGGTGACGGAGGTGATAGAGATTCCTGTAGGGAGCGTGGCATTCCCCAGCTGTCCCTAAAGCTCCTTTTAATTGCGATTCTAAGAATCCTCCTCAGGGAGATTCTTGTTTCTTGCTGCGCTAGACCAACCGATGCCGTTCAATGGACACCAGTTTTCTTTCTTTGAAATGATTTGTTCCCAGTTTAACCCCAGTAAGCAGGGATACTGCCATTCAGAACCTTAGTGACTCTGGAGAGATTAAGGCATTTGTCCTAAATATGAAGATAATAATTCCTGAAGTTTACAACTTCTGCATGCATTGCCCCAATCTGGACAATTGAGGAAATAAATTGAAGTAATAATACAGATAACTTTTCTGTAACTTTTTAATTATATGATATTATATTGCTTAATATTAACTCAATGCTTTATATCAACTCAGTTATGTTGAAGCATATAAATGAGTTTAAAATTTGAACACCAATTGCAGTGTGAACCATAACATCTGAAAGGATAGGTAGCATTTATCCCCATTTTGCAGAGGAGGGAACAAGTTGAGGAGGAGGTAGGGACCTAACCCAAGGCCACACAAGAGGAAGCCAGAATCCTGCCTTTCAGACCCGTTTTTATTCTGATACACTACACTCCTCCTCCCTGGGAAGCCTGGGAGAGGCTTTGGAGCTTTCTTGGTGAAAGTCTTCCAACAAGTCAAGTAAAAAGATGTGGAAGCCCAGGCCTATAAAACAACTCACTAAAAAAATAGATAATTTCAAAATCTTTAGCTTCTGGTGTTTGTTGTTTTCTGACATATATGTAAAACCTGGAGAAGACATTTTTTTTAAGAGACCCTGCAATCTTGTTCCAACTGAAGACCCATTTCTCCTATAATTTCATGTTCTAGTCATTTGCCAAAAAGTGCATATAGTCGTGTTAATTATTAAAATGTTAGCTCTACCAAAGCTTTTTTTTTTTAATTTTTGTATCTTCTGTACGTTGATGTGTCCCAAGCAGAGGAGACAGTTCCCAACACTGTTATTTAATGTTATTTATTAAGTAAGAGCTTAATCGTTGTCTTTTTAAAAAAAGATTTTATTTATGGGGCGCCTGGGTGGCTCAGTGGGTTAAAGACTCTGCCTTCAGCTCAGGTCATGATCCCAGGGTCCTGGGATCAAGCCCCGTGTCAGGCTCTCTGCTCAGTGGGGAGCCTGCTTCCCCTGCTCTCTCTGCCTGCCTCTCTGCCTACTTGTGATCTCTGTTTTCAAATAAATAAAATCTTTAAATAAATAAATAAATAAGATTTTATTTATTTATTTGAGAGAGAGAGAGAGTGGGGGGGGGATCAGAGGGAGAGGCACAAGCAGATTCCTGTTGAACAGGGAGGCCGATGTGGGGCTGGATCCCACAATCCCGAGACCACAGCATGAGCCAAAACCCAAGAGTTGGATACCAACTTACCTTTACTCATTGTTGAATAATGTGGATATTTGAAGGGCACCTCAGTGGCATTAAAATTATTTTAAGCTAAAAACATTTGAACAAACAGCATCTACAGGGAGGGGAAAAGTAAATCTTTATCTGAACTTCCTTTGCTGAATTAAGCAGGACCTTCTGACAAGGTACAGCCTGAATAATTCGGCCAGAAAGGAGACTAACCATCATCACAGACTGAGTAATTCCCTAAATAAACTATCTGAACCATCATTAACTTCCACTTGTCCTTATGTATGCTCTTTCTGCCCCTTCCTTTCCACTTAAGAAATGGGCATGTGATCCCCTGTCTTGGGCTGTTCTAGGAGCTAACTCCTCTGAAGGCTCCTTAGCCCCAATCAAATTCTGTCTTTTGTCCTGTTAATTTTGTCTGCTGTCGGTAAATCCCCAGCCCCTGCTGTCCCCCGCCCCATCCTTAAACCTAAGTAGGCAGAGGGAAGATTTCTCTTCTCAACAATATGAACGCAAATTTTGGAAAAATTATTAGGAGATACACCAAAGTTTTAATGCATAGCCTCTAGTGAATGTGGTTGCAGTATTATAGGACTTCCAGTGTTTTCCTTATGTAACTAAATATGAGAAACAACTGGTTTATGTTCTAAGAAAAGGATTCTTTAAAAAAAAAAAAAAAAAAAAAAGCTTGACTAAGTCCCAAAGATCCATGTATCCCATATCATCTCCCACAGGCACCTTGGCCATCCTCATCCCCCGCCTGGACCTGGTCCTCTCCCTGGTGGGCTCCATGAGCAGCAGTGCACTGGCTCTCATCATTCCACCCCTCCTGGAGATCACCACCTACTACTCAGAGGGCATGAGCCCCCTCACCATCGCCAAGGACGCCCTGATCAGCATCCTGGGCTTCGTGGGCTTTGTGGTGGGGACCTACCAGGCCCTGGACGAGCTGATCCTCTCAGGACAATCCCTCCCCTTTTCCAACTCCACCATTTTTATTCAGTGAGAATGGCACTGCTCCTTACCCACCAGCACCTGACTTTTACTGACGTGGATATCTTCTGTATGCTTTATCTTTGTTTTGCCTCATTATCTTTTTTCTGGGCCAAGTCATAGTGAAGCAAGCAAGGACTCATCAGTTACAGGGTCTAGATGGTAATTTACAAATTTGTTTTTATTACTTTTCTTTCCATCTCTAGCTTTCCCTTTAAGAGTCTCCCATGGAAGGCTCCTGATTCATCCAACTTGGCAATTCACAAGGTGGATTTTGTACCTTGAGTGGCGCTATGCAAGAAGAGGCCACCAGGGGGAAACCAAGTGACAGCAACTGGCAGAAAGAGATGCCCTGGCTGAGGCTGACCCTGATCTGGTAGACAAATGGTTTCTCCTTTTCCAGATCTATTCAAAGAACATAGACTAGGGGAAGTAACCTATAATCCAACAAGGTATACACAACTCCTATGACAAAATAGATAGGGAAAAAAGGTCCAATGTGAACTGTAACTCTCCGAAAGGAGCCATCATATTTAAGTCAAGGGCAATAAACTTTCTAAACCACTGGGTAAAGTTTTGGCCCAGTTTGAAGATATCAACAGCAGATAGGAGGAGTAGTAAATGTGCCAGTGGGGCAGGGGGGGGCAGACAATACCATTGCAGTATCTGACATTATTTACCTCTTAATTCTTGCAACAAGCATTCTACCTACTGTGTGCTAAGCACAGTTCAAGGTTCTTAGAGTAGATTGCAAAAATGGCCATAAATTCCTCCTGACAATGTGACTTTGCAGCTCCTCTTATCAAGAGGTGAAATCTATGTCTCTACCCCTCAAACCTGGTCTTGCCCTCATGACTTATTGGGGCCAATGGGACGTTGGTTGCTTGTGCATCAGGACTCACGTTTCTCGCTGAGCTATGGAGCCACGACCGTCAGGTGAAGAAGACTGAGCTAGCCTACTGAGGGATGAGAGGCCATATGGAGCAGAAGCGAATCATCCCAGTTGAACCCATCCTTCAGGTCAACCTGTCTGCCAACTTCAAGACACATGAGGGAAGCCTCCTAGACTACACCCAGCCCCAGACAAGCTGATCCAGATGATAAGGATTGTCCAGATGATCCACAGAATTGTGAGAACTAATAAATGTGGTTTTAAGTCATAAAGTGTGGGAGTTTTTATGCAGCAAAAGCTAACTGATACTCACTTGAAAGACGTTGTACCAATGAGAAAAGCATCCCTGCCCTCAAAAAGCTAGTTCACTATCCACTGGGGAAGAACTACAGGTAATCAACTAAGTCCGTAACATCATTGATCCTCATGAGGGCAGAGGGACGAGGACTGCTCCAGAGTACTAAGTATGACTTTCCACAGGTGGCGTCATTGACCTGGATTTCCAGTAGAACTTGAGTTTCCTGACACTGACTCTTCCCTCCTTCCACTCTGACCTGCTTCCTTGACAGTCCTGGGCCTTTTCTCATCTCTGAGCTTGGCTGGCAGCAGGAGCCAGTCAACCTGAAACACCATCTCAACCTTCCAGGTAGTGTTTGCTCCTTCCTCCCTAAAATCAAATTAGGAAAGTGCCCCCAAATAACTGTGTAGATATGACAGGCAGATCTATAATCCCAAGAGAAAGAGTTTCTCATCAGACTTCCTATAATTTTGCCCCATGTTTGTTTCTGCCTCCATTTTAAGAGAATATTTGAAAAAGCCTTTTCCTGCTCATTTTCAACCATGATCCTTCCTGTACAGGCTAAGGAAGATGTTGAGGGAGAGTGTCTGCCCCAGTTCCTAAATCCTGGTCTACTCCTTTTGTAGGAGTTTTCTACCTGCTAGACTTCAAGAAGGTGCTTCATGCACACCAGCCCTGCTCAGGTAAGAGGGGGGCCAGCAGACTGCACCAATGTCCCATAGACTGCAGGGTACCTGCTGGGAGGCAAGACATTCATAGCCTATGCTGCGGCCCACAGCCCACGTGGCCAAAGAGCTGGCTGATCCTTCCCTCCCTGCACTTCTGTGTTTCATCGGCAGACCCAAACCACTTCCACCGATGGGCTCAGAGCTATGGCAAAGCATTCTTCCTCTCTCTGTGCTTGCCTCTCCCACCATATTCCATCATCGCCCCAACCAGTCTTGCTCAGTTTAAGAGTGTCCTCTGTTATTAAAAAATGGTCACAGTCACTGTCCAGGGACAAGCCCCTACTGTGTAAGATGCTCAGGTCAATCTTATCATTTAGACTAATATGGTTTGCGTTCAATTTTGGAAATAAAAAATAAATTTAAAAAAATTTAAAAATAATAAAAATAAAATTGGAAATAAAAAATAAATGTAAGCTGGGGAGACTTATTAGTAATTATCAGCAACACTAAAGAATGCCAATTACTAGAATTGTGCTTGAGTGGTGAGGATATTAACTTTTTGTCTGGCACTGGTTTACACACACACACCCTCTACCCCCTCCCCATCCCAACTGATTATTTAACTTTCGGAGCTTGTTCTTGAATCAAGAATCATATAAAATCCTTTCTTCCTTCCCTCAGTGAGCAGTTTACTGTGTTTTGCAGGGGATTATCTTACTTAATCCTTATAACAACCCTAGGAGATTGTCACTGACGTTGTCCTTATTTTCAGATAAGGAGACAGGCTGAGAGATGGGAAGAAAGTTGCTGGTATCAAACATAGTTGGGCTCAGGACTCACATAGTTGTGCACCAACGAGGCCCAAGAGGGACCTCGAATGATGATGGCCAAAGTGAAAAAGAAGGAAAATGTGTCCAGTGAAATAAGCCAGTCACAAAAAGACAAATAATGCATTATTCCGATTTTATGAGGTACCTAGGGGAGTCTGACTCCTAGAAACATAGACTGGTGGGGGTGGGCTGGAGAGGGGAGCAGGCAGCAGCTTAATGGGGACAGTTTTGCAAGAAGAAAAGGGTGCTGGGGATTGGTTGCACGACACGGGGGATTATTTAACATTACTGAACTGTGCACTTACAAATGGTTAAGATTATCAGTTTTCTGTTATGTGTAACACAATTATTTTTATCACACAGTAAGTTAGTGGTGGGATGTGTGCAAATAATGAAGCACATCCAGATGTTCACAGCTGTCCTCCCTGGATGGTGGGGAGGTTCATTGTCATCTCTACTGTCTAGCGGACGTGTGTAGTGTCATCTTCCTACTTTCCACTCAGGGGCAGACTCCTTGAAAGTGTTCATTGCTAAGCCTGCAGGACCTAATGTGGAGTAGACATTCACTAGAAAGTATTAAAGCAGTGGCTAAATGCAGTGGGGGAGAGGAAACTCTTTCCAAATGGAGAAAAAAAACCTTTGGGGTATCAGAGGAAGGAGAGATCTCAATGGACATTCAGAGGAAGAAAGAGGCTCTTGGAGCAGATTTTGCAGCAGTACTGAGTTTTGACATGGGCAGCGTGTGGATCCCATAATCTTCCCAAGGAGCCCATCTGGACCATCCCAAATGAACGCGCAGGCCAAGTACGGTGTACCCAGGCTTGCTCTGCAAAAGCATCTTGAAGACAACGTTTGTATGTGCCAACGCAATCCTTCCTTTCATGTGAAAATTCTTAGCATCATCTTGATCCTTCCCTCTCTTCTATACCCCACCTCACATCTGTCCATCAGCACGTCCTCTTGGCTCTATCTTTTAAAGGTACCCAGATATCTCTTTAGTTGCCACCCTGATCTAAACCACTGATGATATAAGCACCTGGCTCATCGCAGTCCTTTCCTATTTATTTCCCAACATTGGCCCTTGCCCTCCTTCAATCAGCTCCCAACCTAATGGCCCTAAGAGATCCTGTTAAAATGCAAGTCATGTCACTTCTCTTCTCAACCTCTCCATGATACCTCATCTCGTGGTAAAAATTAAAGGCATTATAGTGGCATACAAGATCCTACTTATCCCATTCCATCCCTCTTCTATTACTTCTACTTACATTAACTGCATCTCTAGTGTGATCATGTAATTTATCATCCAAACCAGGACACTTTTGATAATGAAAAGAGGCATATTGGTAATTATGCCAGGGCAATAAACACATACCAGAACAGTCCTGGGCAAACCAGACATATATCCACTCTACTCATCTCCCCTCTCCTTTGTGTGTGCTGAGCCAGCCATGTGGGCCTTATTACCATTCCCCAAATGCCCAGACCCTCTTCTGCCTCAGGACCTTTGCACTTACTCTTCCCTTGCTTTAAGTTTCTTACCCAAGACCTAAATGAGACATGTTCCCTCATCCCATTCAGCCCTTTACTCAGATGTCACTTTCTCAGTGAGGATCTCTCTGACCACCCCATCTAGGATTGCAACCCTCTCTATCCCAGTCAGCACTTCACATTCCCCTTTACTCCTCTATTTTTCTCTATAGTACTGATTACCAACTAACATAACTTGACATATTTGTTTGCTGTCTGTCTCCTCAGTAGACTGCAGTTCCATGAGCGTAGAGATTGTAATAAATTTCTACCCTAATGTATTCCCAGGAGGGAGAACAGTGCCTAGTATATCTTGGGTGCTCAATAGATAGTTGTTGAATAAATTATTTTTTTAAAGTTTTTCAAGTTCTTAAAAGTTTAAATTATTTTTTAAAAGTACTCCCTTCCAAGTAGGTGCGGAACATACGCCCTTCCTGGACAGAAATTCTGAGCAGGTAGCACTTGAACTGGGCCTTAGAAGACACTCTTCATTCCCACCCAGGGAAGGTGGTGGCTGGATCAGTCTTGATTGGGCCACACCTGCATCCTGGGATTCTGTAGCACTTTATTGGCTGGGCAGGCCTCATTGTGAGGTAGCTCTGGCTTCCTCCTCACAGAGGTAGACAAGCGCTGAACCTGGCCCCCCATCCAGGCACCAGGACCTGCAGTCCAATGGTGACTTCCTCCTCCCGGTCACACTCTTCTCTTTGCCCTATAGCACTAAGGGCTGACCTGGGAGGGACTGGAAGCCCAGGTGAGTCCTGGCATGTGGCCGACCAAATGGTGAGGGGTCCTGAG